ATATATATACACACACACTTTTTTAATGGTGTCTACTATGGAAAGTTGTTTCTTTTATTCTTTGCTTTACTGCACATGTAAAAAGCAGCAGAAAATATAAATATACTCTCCATCTGGAGTCATCTCTTCTGGGGTCAGTTTTTTTGGGTTTTTTTTGGTCTTTTCTGAGACAAGGTCTCCCTGTAGCCCCAGCTGGCCTCAAACTCACAGTCTCTCCCTCCAGTAGGATTAAAGACATGCACCACCACACCTGGCTTGGATTCAAATTTCTTTTGGGGGGGGTGGCTGGTAAGATGGCTCAGCACATAAAGGCTCTTGCTGTCAAGCCTAGCAACCTCTTACATCCACATGTGGGAGCACACACAAAAATGTGGGGGGGAGGGTTAAATTATGAGTTAATTTTTTTCTTGAATTTTTTTAAACGTACAAACTCCCTGTGCCACTTCAGGAAAAAAAAATCACATATACAGGATTTTTTTTTAATTAAAAAAAAAGTATGTGTGCATCTGTGTGTGGATACGAGTCCATATGTGCAGAGATATGGTGTTACAAGTAATTGTGAGCTGTCCCGACATAGGTGCAAGGAACTGAACTCAGGTCCTCTGAAGATCCTCTGAGCCATCTCTTCAGGCCCAAGAGGTTAGTTTCTTAGGAAAGGAACTTAAAACTATATTAAACACAAATTACGGCTCTGTAAAACTATCAAAATAGGAATCATAGACATTAAAGCTTAAGGCTGTTCCCAATTCACACAAAAGCAAGAATTCTCAAGACATAAAAAGAATGTTAGAGAAAATTCTAGCCAGAGCAATTAAGAGGAAGGGGAAAAAAAAAAAAAAGAAAGAAAGAAAAGGCATACAAAATTGAAAGGAAAAAGTAAAGCTAGCCAGCTGTGGTAGCACAACCACCTGTAATCTCAGCACTTGGGAGGCTGAGGCAGTAGGATAGCAAGTTCCAGTCGAGTCTGAGCCATACACTTATGACTGTGTCCAAAAACCAAAAAAATACATTTTTTTGGTTTGGTCTTTTTGAGACAGAGTCTCCCTCTAGCCCAAGCTGGCCTGGAACTCCCTATGTACAACAGGTTGGCCTTGAACTCAGAGCTTTACCTGCCTCTACCTCCCAGTGCTGGGAGTAAAGGTGTATGCCACCACACCCTGCCCAAAAAACACATTTTATCACAACAAAAAAACTTACAAAAAGGTACATCCAAATGATATGGCACAGCCAGTATTTTTTACCATACACTTAAATATTTGACATTAAAGCCTCAATATGGTTTTGGTTTGTTACGGAATTTTGTTCTTGGTTTTGTTGTTTCACTTTGTTTTTGAGACAGGGTCTTACTTTGTAAGCCTGGCTGGCCTGGAACTCTCACAGCAACCCTACTGCCTCAGTCTCCTAAATGTTGGGATTATAGGCATCTGCCAATGTGAGAATGACTTTTATAGGAATACCTCTGTCTTATCTAACCTTGTATCCAAAGTTAATCTTGTGTTTTGTTTTAACTTTATTTTTGTATTTTATTTTATGTGTATGAATGTATTGCCTGCATGTAGGTAAGTGCACCCATGTCGTGCAATGCCTGCAGAGGTCAGAAGAGGCTGTCAGATCCCCTGGGACTGGAGTTAGACAGTTGTTAGCTGCCATGTGGGTGCTGGGATTTGACCCCGGGTCTTCTGCGAGAACAACCAGTGTTCTTAACCACTGAGTCATGTCTCCAGCCCCAATCTTATGTTTTGAGATCACTTAATACTATCTATTCAATCAACTTTCCTACTATATAATCAGCTTATTTAAATTTAGCTAACCTTAAGGAAAACAATGTGAACAATCTTACAATCAACTTTTATAAACTAAACTAAACATACAGCTTTAATCTTAAGCCATTTCTTTGCTTGTGCCTGATCCAGAACAGAGTATGGGGAGAGAGAGAGAGAGAGAGAGAGAGAGAGAGAGAGAGAGAGAGATCACCAACGAAAACAGCGACCTTGAAATATGTGTGTTAAAAGCACAAATGTTGCAAAACAACATAGGGGCTTAGAATGACAGTATGTCTGTGGTTTTGTATGCTGTTCTGGGTTGGTACAGGTCAGATAAGAAATGTCTTCCCTGTTTAAACGTTCTTTAAGACAAAGCTCTTCATTCCTTTCCCATATCATACTGGATGTACTGTTTAAATAAAAACAAAGAAGTCTTTGTTCAAGGAACAGCTTTGAGAGAAATAAGAAAGGAACAGTTCAGGAAACAGAGTAGGCTCAGTCTTCTTTGTTCAGGTCTAGCAGGCTATACGCCACTAAGCCTGGCCTGTTTTGATTTTTAAATTTTTTTGAAAATTTTATTTATTGCTGGGTATGGTGGCACACGCCTGTAGTCCCAGCACTTGGGAGGCAGAGGCAGGCGGATCTCTGTGAGTTCAAGGCCAGCCTGGTCTACATAGTGAGTTCTAGGCCAGCTAGGGCTGCAGGGAGACCCTGTCTCAAAAAGACCAAAAAAAAAAAAAAAAAAAACCCAAAATTTATTTATTTATATTTTATGTGTATGAGTGTTCTGCTTGCATTTATGAAAGTGTACCCGTGTCATGCAGTGCCTGTAGAGGCCAAAAGTGGGTGTTGGATCCCCTGGAACTAGAGTTACAAACATGCATTAATCACCACATGAGTGCTAGGAACTGAACCCAGATCCACTACAAGAACAGCCAGTGCTCATAACTACTCAGCCATCTCTCCAGCCCTTAGTTTCGATTTTTAAAGCTGTGTGTATGTCCACATTCATGTGTTAGTGAGGATAGGCTTGTGAAGGTTAGAAGACAACCTTGCGTTTCAGCCCTTACCTCCTACCTTATCTGAGACAGGGTCTCCAGTTGATTTTTCCTGCTACATATGCCAGGCTAGCTGGCTGACAAACTTCTGGCTCCCATCTCTCTGTAGGACATGGGGACTACAGAAGACTGCACTACCAGGTTTAGCTTTGCATGGATTCTGGGAATTCAAACTCAGAATTTCAAACTCGGGGCTTTTACCCACTGAGCCATTTCCCCAGTCCCTTGATCTTTTTCTTTTTAAAAAGACAGGATCTCACTATGCAATCCAGAATGACTTCAAATTCACCAGGTAGCCCAGGCTGATAGCCTATATGATACCGCTACCTCAGTCAACAGAGTTCTTGAATTATAGGCACACACCACCATGACTGGCTAGCAAAAACTTTTTAAAGGACTAGAGAAACAGCTCAGTGGTTAAGGGCTGCTTGTGGTAATTTGAATGAGAATAGGTTCCAAGTATTTTGGTCCCTAGTTGGTGCTGCTGTTCAGGGAGGTCTTAGAAGGTGTGACCATGCAGGAGGAAGCATGTCACTGGGGGAGGGCTTAACAGAGTTCTTAAGTCTCGCCAGATCTCTAGTTGCACTCTGCTTCCTGTGCCTGCTTGAAGATAAGAGAGCTTAGCTTCTGCTCTCCTCCAGCCACCTCTGCTGCCATGCCATGGTAGACTCCTGCCCCTTTGGTACAGTAAGCTAAATAAACTCTTCCTTTTATAAGTTCCCAGTCATGGTATTTCTATCAAAGCAACAGAAAAGTAACCAATACACTGCTCTTGGAAGAGCTAGAGTTTACTTCCCAGCACCCACATCAGTTGGCACACAATGGCCTGTAACTCCAGCTCCAAGGGATCTTACACCCTCTTCTGGACTCCATAGGCACTGCACTCATGTGCACATGCATACACAATGGATATACACACACAATAAAATTTTAGAATTAACTAAAATTAATTCTTATAAAATAAAAAGCCAGGTGTGGTAGTGTACAACTTTAGTTCTAGTATGCAGGTGACAGAGGCAGCCAGAACTCTGAGATCAAGGGTAGTCTAGTCTATATAATGAGTCCAGGTCAGTTGGGGCTACAGGAAGAACCTGTCTCAAAACCAAACAAAAAATAAAATTTTTTTAGTATTTTCAAAATATGTATGTATGAATAGTATGCATGTATGTATGTATGGGGGGGTGCGTGCCACAGCATGACAGGTCAGATGACAATTTGCTCTGGAAGTAGGTTCTCTCCTTCCACCACATAGGTCTTGGGAACTGAGCTACCTAAGCCAGCCCTGGCAAACAATTGAAAAATGTTAACAACAAATCACTAATCAATAGTTAAAGGTTGTTTTATTTATTCTCCAAATAAAATAGTAAGTTTCTTAATACTTACCTAAACTTGTGGGCTTGATGAGAACATCAAGAACATCATAAAAGGGCAGGTTTTTTAACTGCACATCAGGATGGACCGGAGGAATTGGAGGAGATGGTTGCTGCATCTCAAATGTGGGCTTAGTATCTTGAAGCAACACAGAACCAACAGGAGATGATGGTGAATGAGGTGTAATTGAAGTGGAAGGCAACGAATGGATTCCAGGCACAGCCAAGTCAGGTTCTACAGGTGATGAACTACCATCCAAATTGAAAACTGATGATTTGATTGTGGATAAATCAGAAAGTCCTTCAAGTGTCCGTGGATATCGGCGTCTATACAATTCTCGAATTTTAATCTGAACCGCAGGGCTGCAGCCACTCTTCAATAAATGCAGTGCCCTCATCAGGAGGTCATGCTTGCGCCCACTTTTATTCCGTCCAGCAAAGCCTAGTAACACTTGTAATTCAGAAACCCTAAAACTAGAAACCATATTCTAAAAGGAAAGAAAAAAAAAAGCCAATAGTCATCCTCAAGCATATTTTTTTTAAATCCTACCTAAAACATACTGTATTTTTCTTGCTAGTAATATTTACATATATAATTAATATTCATAGAGCTATCGTCCCTTAAACTTACATTTGAGTTATATTGTTAAATTAGATTTTGCTTTTCTCTGAATTTTAGTAATAGTCTATTGGTTCCTATTAACAACTTCATTATCAGATTATACTCTGATGTAAATCCGTATCTGCTTTATGACTATGACTCATTAACCAATGAAAATGTTCCTTATCAAAAATAAACTCAAATATAAAACTGTATGTCACAAGTTTTTTCCCAATTAAGCAAGAAATAAACGTTTTTGCAATGTTACATGTGTAACTTCTGATGCTGCTTAGTAAGTATACAAAATCCAGTCAGAATTGTGATCCAAAAGCCAATGCATTTTTTAACCTAACTAAAATATTAAGGAACAGACAACATAATTTTAAAAGATACTTTAAAATGTTAAGGCTTAAAAAAAAAATCACATACATTCTATTTAACA